CTTTCAGCCTCCCACATTGTCCGAACATTCCACGTACCTATACCAATTGTTGATCTTGTTGTTAGAAGGAGCTTTGGTCTCGTGGCTTCGCTATAATCCCAGCTTTCACCATGATACGACATTATTTTTGTGAATGAAGATCCTTCGACTCGGAGGACAAAGTTTAAATGATTTAAATTGTTTATTTTGGTTAGTGTATTTTTAGCAAGGTTGTTTTCTATGGGATGGTATCGCTAACTCCTTATGATAATAGTTTATTGGTTAACTGAAAGCTTATAATCAATAGAATATGTAGACATAGTAACTTAGTTGTTCATTATTTATACAACAAAATTGTGATTAATAATATTTTGAAAAACCAATCATAACTTCAAGAGGTATTTTCTGCAGTTCTAGTGAGAAGCCATGATCAGTGGCGTTCATCCGGATCTGTTGTAAGATAGGAACTCACTGAAGACTGTGACGGACGGTGACGCAATTTCATAGATTGGTTGAAGTTAGACATTAACACTGTTGGACGCTAACTCAGTAGTTTAGAGATTAAGCGTTTGCGCTCGAGATCGAAGGTCCTGATTTCGACTTTTTCGAGCGGAATTATTTTGTTTAACAATCACAAATTCATATGGTATAACTTTAAACAATGCACTTTAACCTAAACCTGTCCATTTATCGGATTATTCATTTGGATATGTGATAATTGTAGAACCATGAAGTGAATTCATCGAAAAGAATATTCTTCATTCAAATATTAGTCTCTTCATAAAAAAAAGTTATGTTCAATTAGAAAAGGGATCAAAATATTGTCAAACGAATAAGAAATCAAAGTTCTATATTATCTATTCTATAAACGTCTTAAACAAATAACTATGACATACTACTATTATTCAACAATAATGGTATTAATGACAGTTTGATAAGTTGCTTTTATCGATTTTTACATAAAATTATGATAAATCTATGTCTATTGTTAATGTATTTCAAAAATCAATATTTGATGATCGGGGGGGGGGCTTTGTTTATTCTTACTAAAAGTAATCAGATCTCTAAGAGAAATCCTTTAAAATTCATTTAGATTGATTAGGAAATCTTTAAATTTTACTTGTATGCAGATGAGCAGGGGTCATTAAAAAAGAAAATTCACTAAAATTTTAAGAGTAAAATGGATCAATATGATTTAGTGACCTGGTATCTAACTATAATTCGATCGAAAAAAATAATCGTCATTGAATGATTACTGTCAAAATATACATCCTATCTATCTTCGTATAGTGAATAATCGGATTAAATAAGTCAAGTACAAGAATATGTATATTTTGTACAATCATTGATCTAGGATGACAGTCAGAGGGACGAAAGGAAATAAGCGAAGCAAAATGGCACATAGTAGAAAAGGAGAGTGAGCCAACCAAGTGTGAATCGATATTTATAGTCAGATAAAAAATAGGTTACCGACATGTGATGAGTAGGATAAGAAATGCACACATACATGCTTACATAAGAACAGTCAAAGTTGATAAGTGAATAATTAACAAGGCTTAAATGTGACTATGGAAGAATGAATAGATTGACCTGTCCAGAAAGCTAGAATAAGTTATATAAACTTAACATAGTAACCGACACTACATATACGTTATAGGAAATAGAAAAAATCAAACCCTTACATTCCTATTCATAAGTTAATATATAAATTTACTTTAAAGAAAAAGCTGTAAACATAAATATCACCAAATTATTTTTACATCAAAAGTTTATCCATCTCAATTAAATACTGAATTAATAGCTGAAAATGTTTTTTTATCATTTTGAAGGTTTCTTATCCAGATAGCTAGAAGATAATAATAATTCATTGTATCAGAAGGGATTTTGTGGAGATGGTAGTAATTTCACTACTTGAGATCATGAGTCAATTGAAACCAGATCACTATGGAAAATCTGGAAGCACTGGACGGCCGTTTCGTCCTATTTTGGGACTACTCGGCAGTGCGCACCCACGACTTCGCCTCGCAGGACCTACCAATCTCGCGCTTGACCATCGTCCAATGTTTCCAGGTTTTCCATAGTGGTCTAGTTTCAATTGACTCATGATCTCGACTATTGAAATAATTAATTGTTTTATGATCTTTAATTCACTATCTGATTCTTTATTATTATTTTTTTTCTAACTCATAAATAAATCATAATCATATTAATTAGATTAATTATTTTATAAAGGAATGATTATTTGATTTTTTCTATGGTGCTATGTTTGGAGAGATCACGTGTTCACCTAGTATGTGAACGGAACAAAGACTCTGTGACAAAAGACCAATAAGCTAGCTATTCTGACGCGTCCCAGCTCAGCTAACTAGAGAGAGAAATAGAAGTTCGAAACGGGGAAATATATTCCGCAACCAGCCAGAAGCACGAGCGATCCTGACACAGTCTAGTCGGAAATACACTCATTTATATATTGGTTTTTACATTCATTTTGGATTAATAATCAGAATAAACCACATATATGAAAAACAGTTCATACAAGAATTTCGTATGTTATACAGAATAGAATGTCATAGGGGAAAACGAAACAAATACTATACATGCAGTGAATAAGAACACGAGTTGGACAACCGAGTGTATCTGGACACAAAATTACAGAACATCTCACTAAAATCTGACAACCATACAGTAAATAGTTAATTTGCAAAATATTAATCAATTGTCTCAAACTTGACTGTTCTTTTTGCAAATATCAGCCCATCATCTGAGATTTCATTGTTCATGCATTTTCATAACAATTGCTCTTTGTTTCCGTTCTTTCCCTCTCAATCTTCCACTGAAATACATTCTATGTCTGACCATCGTTATATACTACTTATATGGATATAAGTAGCTCACCACATATACTGAGTAATCATCGAATTGAATTAAAACGGGATTAATGTTGAATAAAAATCATAATGATTAAATCGATCTAATTTTGACTTTATATCCTGTCATAACATCCTAATAGATATTCATCAAATATACTTAGTTATTTCTTTTCTGAAATCTACTTAATGATCATTTACATAAGGAGATTTCTAAATTGGGGTTACATGAATTGTCATTTTAGTATTTTAATAAATTGATTAAATTATTATGAGAAAAATTATTTGGATTAAAATTATAAAACATATAAAAGTAATAAGTGCTTTTATAAACAAAGATGGATAGTGGTTAGCAGTTGGAGTCCAGGACGCGCATTTCATCTTATTCGGGACTGCTCAGCTAGATGTATATGTATCTCAGAGTTTATGTTCAATTTGGGACTCGAACCCAGTACTATTCACTTCCAATGCCATCATGTTATCCACTTAGCTACTGAGTCTTGTTAGCCACTTGCTAGTGCAATGAAGCGAAGTCTAAATTCATTTGGTATTGTTTAATTGAATCTTCATATAAATAGAACGAAGAGCCCGTCCTAGATTCCACTGCTAGCCACTATACATCTTTGCTTAGAATGCACTTGAATTAAGGCAATATCGAGGAAATACGCACAGTAAACACATATGCCAATAAGAGACTGATCAATTGCATTACTAAATCATCAATCGGAATATTCAATCAAACAATATCAAGTGAATTTCAACTTCATCTCATTGGACAAGCAAATGGCTATCAGGACTCAGTAGCTAAGTGGGTGACGGGATGGCGCTTGAAGCGAACAATACTAGATTCGAGTCGTAGAGTGAACATCAACATTAAGGGATCATTCAGTTTCGGATGAACATATCTATGAATTCTTGATTTATTTATTTGATTTTGAATGGTGGTTGCTGAATATCATTTTTCAAAGCGATATTTCTACGATAATTCGAAAGTTGTGTTATTGCTTTTATGATTATTTATGTTTTATACATTATCCTACTTATAAATTAGTAAGTAAACAAAATAAATTAACTACAAACTTCAACATATAGATGTAATCTATTTATATGAATTGAAAAATCAAGAAAATAATTCATTGATTTATAAATTATTTATAAGATAATGAGAATGAATCAACATTTTCCATAGTTGAGTGATCTTTCAACTTTTAGTATAGTATAGCATTTTTCTTTGTTCTGTTTCAGTGTAGTTCTATTTATTTGAACACATAATTATTGATACAAATGGGCACCGAATACATATTCGCCACAAAATTCACTTGATTTGTGTGTGGGCTATGATACTGCCCGGGTACCCATACTGAAGCAGATGTTTTCTTAGGGAGCCAAACCCGGAGCCTTTGACCTAGAGGTCTGATCCACAAGGCAGTAGAGCAGCGTCAGGAGAAGCAGTCCCATGGTAGCCAGTGACCAACGATAGGTTCATACGCCATTTGTTCCCTCGGGACACTGTAGCCCATGTGCACCATTGGTTTGGAATAAGGGTTTTCCAACTCCGTGTCCACCAACCTGACTAAAGCCCCGGATATTCGCTTTTCTTCCTCTCAACAACAGTAATGCCACGAGAAGGCAGTTAGTAGGAGTTCCCTGGCTGTGGCTATATGCACGTAGCCATTTGAGAGCATTTCGAGAGGGACAGCTGACTTTCCCCACCCTCGGCCTTACCAGGACATTTGGAGGCAGTGTAGTAAAAAGAATTAATAATCTATTAACACTGTGATATGAATCATATTGATTATTAGAAGAAAATAATATTTTTAAGATTATAATATGTGTAATAGAAAAAATATAATCAGAGAAGGGTTTTTGTTGATATTATAGTGATTTCAATCGTTGAGATCATAAGTAAATTGAAGCTGGACCACCATGTAAAACCTGGAAGCACTGGACGGCCGTTTCGTCCCATTTTGGGACTCCTCAGCGGTGCGCATCCACGACCTCGCCTCCCGAGATTCGAACTCAACAGTGGTCTAGTGGTTAAACGCTCGCGCGCGAGACTGGGTTGACATAAATAATCTCGACTAACCTTTATACTGATAATAAGTAATATAACTTTATACTTTTATATTTATTCTTTATTATTTTATCTCTTAGAATATTGGATTTAGTCCATATTTGAATGCAATTACAGCTAATGGAATGACAAGTTTACATGGTGTTCCAAATTTACCAACACATATATCAACTAACACACCACGTCATCTACTTAATACTAACAATACAATAAATGGTTTATCAAATAAACGATCTAGTCTACCAGATACTAAAACTGATTTTTCATCAATTTATACTCCATGTGGAATAGTAACACAAGTAAATGGAGGTAAATTAAATTCACAAAATGATCATCACAGTCATCATCATCACCATCAACAAAATCAACATCATCATAGTCATCATCACAAGTTGAATGGGTCATCAGGATTAATAAATGGAACTAGTAATGAAACAGGGAATATTAAAGAACATAGTCAATCACCTGGAATACGTGTTACTTCTGCTGTATCAAATACTAATAATTGTGTTGGAATTGGGACTGCTACTGGTTGTAATAGTAATGGTGGGGGTAGTTCAGGGAGTAATTGTACCAATGGAAATAATAATACAATGAATGCAACAGCAGCGGCTGCCGCAGCTGCGGCAGCAGCATTTTTCAGCTTACAACAACAGTCACAACAACAAAATTCCATTGGTTTGGGTTTACCACCTCCACAGCCAGCACCACCATCAGCAGCGGCAGGAGCACATGGGAATCCGATTCCATTAACAGCGGCATCACTAGCTGCAGCTGCGTCGTTAGCAGCCGCTGCTGCAGCGGCAAATCGAGTTATTGGACCGCATAATACATTGTCGTCACATTTTCCTGTTGCATTACCCGATCACACAGGTTATTTTCAAGCTCCTTGTAAGTGATTATTTGAGGATTAACAATATTATGGCATAGATTTGAATTTTATACCGAAGTTAAAGTAGTGTAATAATAATAATACATGATAACTTGTTATAGAATATCTATCGGTTGAAGTTTTCATATACCTCTAAGTTAGAGTAACTAGCAATAGATAAACTGGATAAGAAACAATATGGGGAAATAATCTCGATCATAGTGATAAGCTAAATATGTACTCAGTAGTGGGCGACCTTGAGAGGAATTTACAAACTTCCTTTGAGGTGCTATGATCGATGGAATTTTAACTATATTTGACGTGAGACAGATATCAAAGATGACAGTAGGTGTTAGTTATCCAACTTCATGAAGTTACTGATATTGGAAATATTTGTCATACTTTCGTTGTGCATCTTGAAGTTCCTATATTCGATTCATAACGTAGTCCTAGCAGCGCGCTGTTGAGTACTTCAGTATTAAGACGAAACATGTGTCTCATGTTTTCCGATGTTCAATAGTTATCTCCATAAAATTATTTTGTGGTGTAGATTACAGATCAAAAATAAAACATTTTGAAAAGAATAAATGAGGTCGAATAATAAAAAGTAGGGGATGACACTAAACCCGAAATCTGAAATGAAATTCGGGGTTTATGAAACCACACCACTGTGATTGATTTAAGACCACTAAATTCAATATTGATTAAAGATCATGTATTTCATTTTATGATAATGTCAAGTATTGATATCGAAGGCAAATATAATATTCCATAGAATAGTTAATCAGTGCCAATCTATGCTATTCCTTATATTAAGAGTTCAGCGCGGAGTTATACTTTTTGATATAAATATTTACATTAAATCATAATTAAAACTTTACAATGAGGTTCTAATCAAAATTATTACATTGATATAGAGATATTCGGCAGTAAAAGCTTTCAGCATGAGTGAAACACTTTAATCTTAACAAAGTTGAACGGGTATAAACGTCGTTATTATATGTTGTTACTAACTTACTTACTCCTGTTACTCCTCGTGGAGGAGCATAGGCCGCCCACCATCAATCTCCATCCAACCCTGTCCTGAGCAATCCTTTCCAGTTCTTCCCAATTGTTATTCATCCTTTTCATATCTGCTTCTATTTCCCGACGTAATGTGTTATATTTGGCCTTCCACTTCTCCGTTTCCCTTCAGGATTCCAAGTTAGGGCTTGCCTCGTGATGCAGTTTGATGACTTGCGTAATATATGCCCTATCCAGTTCCATCGTCTTTTCCTAATTTCCTATTCAGCCGGAAGCTGGTTTATACATAAATATATATCTATCGTGATTTTAATAGAGTCGTTTAACTTACATGTTATTAATCGTAACATTTATGAATTAAAATATATTTCATTTCAATCATTATCTCAGTTATGATAACTAATAATGATGTTGTCAAAGCTGAAAATTGAGAACTTGTGACATTAATTTTTTTTATTTAACATCGAAACTATCAGTATTCGATTAAACTTGATTCTAAAAAAACCATTGAAAAATGATAGGGATTTCAGCACAAGATTGGTTTAGATAGGGGAATTAAGTGTTATTCAAATGATAACTATGAGCCTTATGGTTTTCTATAAGAGTTTCAGATATACATATGTATATTGATAGTTCCTAAAATAAGTGTTCGTGTTATTATTTATTGTCTGAAGTATATGGACTGATTTATCAGTGGGAGAAGAGTAAGTGACATTTAGTTCCAAGAAGTGAACCAATTGTACTAAATGATTTATACTATTGTGACTATTTATAAAGATTTCTAAAATGGAACAAACTTGCTAGACTGTAGTTTTTGCAAAAGAACTGACAGAAGGTAATTATCTTAAATAAGTTGGCATAACATCTTTGGGAAGTAAACAACAATAATACTTATTTTCTACAGTCTGTGAATGGTTACACGTAAAAGATTATTGGTTGTTTTATGACCCTCATTTCCATTTTTTGAAATACATTTATTATTGTCAGTAAGGGGTTGTACAGGTTGTTGAATTTCATTGAAATCATGAACCGATCTAAGTGAAACAACCATTGGAAATATTCAAGTATTGGACGGCCATTCCATCATAGTATAGAACTTCTCAGTAATGTCGCATCCATGATCCCACACTCATTAATCAAACCCACAACATTCCGTCTCGCGCTCAAATGTTGTCTAGAGATTCTAGGCCTCCAACGGTAGTTTAAATTAGATCGGTTCATGATCTCAACGAAATCTTATCGATTGTGAATAATTGTACAAAAGTTCTCTTATTTGCAATATACCATTTTATTATTATTATTGAAACAATAAGTTAAAATAGTTCATTGATAATCATTTAATAGTTCAAATAAATAAAGAGATATGACAGAGAAACGGAGAAATTTGGCAATGGACAATAATACCTGATTTAAGTGAAATTTGTCACCTGTATATAAGTAGAACAATTATAATTATGATAATTATCATTAGTACAACGAATAATATTAATAATCACACTAGTAGTCATAGAAATATTATTTATCACACTGATTAGTATTGGAGATAGTTGGTGAAACAAGGAGTGCACATACTTTGCCCATATGTATTTTTGTGAACTTGTATAACGAAGAACTTTGGTCTCACGCGCGAGCGCTTAACATCTAGACCATTGAGCCAACATCCAATGGTGTTAATTTCTAGCTTCAATCAATCAGTCTATAGGTTTAGTGTTCATGCGTGGAACCAAATGACCTGGGTTTGATCTCCATTCAACGGGTCATGAATATACATTTCTAAGACGTTCCATGCCAGGTAAAAACGCCCATTTAATGCTTTTAGGTTTTCAATGGTGATCTTACTTAGATCGATCCATGATTTCAATGAGATATATTTTTTTTTAACTGATGAATAGTAATTTTTAGCTACACTATCCAGATTGAATACTTTGTAGACAAATAAAAATTGACATTAACATATTAAGTAAGTTGACCAATGGTTCAGTTTTTTGAAAGAAAAAAAAATAGTCATTTGGTTAAGATTTGTAAAATAACTCTCAATCAGAAAAAATGATCAGTTTGATCTCATCGTTCATTTTCAGTATTTTCTCAAACTAATCAAATTGTAACATCTATAATTTCTCTGTAATTTATCATTAACAATAATCATTTTCCCTTTATTTCTTATAGATCATATTGAAATACCATCATTTTCTTACCAATAATGAATTAAAAAGCAAACAAACAAACAATTGAAATGATAAAAAGAAATACATTTTTTGAAAAAATCCCATCATTTTACAATGAATTTTTAATCAATTAAACACAAACAATATTCACTAAAGATTCATTAATACTAAACTAAACAGGATGTACAACAATAATATTTATAATAAACATTTCTCTCTTTTTCTTCTCTTCTTTTTCTTTCTTTCAATTTTGATTATTTTTATTTCCAAAGAAACCCTCCCCCTTGGTAATAATATTCCTAATAAGATTCTAGTTTATGTAACCATTTAAAATTCTTAGTATTAAAATTTTTAAGTTTTGTTTTAGTCACTATCGTGTGCACGCTCATGCTATCTCTCTCTCTCTCTCTCACTCACTCTCCGTCTCCTTGACTGTTATTGTTGTGTTCGTGTGCGTATGTGTATGTGCGCGTATGTGTACTTGTTCTGGTTCATCTAAACAAGTTAATTTGATGTTTGTTTGTCTTTTTTTTTCAACAACAACAACAAAAAAAAAATGCGCCTTTTTTATTTCATTGACCGAAGTGAATCTTCCATTAAAATTATAATTACAACGGTTAATTTATTATTACTATGATTATTTATATTTATTTATTTATTTATTTGTTTATTTATTTACCTATATACATACAACGATATTTATTTATTTCAAAGAAGGTGGAAACGAACTGAACACACATATGTACACACATACACACACACTTACACAGAGAAGAAGAAACGAACTGAACTAAGAGAAAACTATTGAACAATTCCCAAAAAAAAATAAAATAAAAAACCTTCAAGCATTTGTTACTTTATCCATTTATTGTTTTATGATATATTTTACAACTGTTTTTTTAAAAAAAAATAAAAAAAATTTATTTATTTTATTTTTTTCAATAACAAATTAAACATTGAAACATTCATAGTAACTAAATACAAATAAAATAAGGAATAATTAAATATCTAATGTATATGTGTATAATATACATGTTTAAATGTTTCATTTATTCAGTTTTATAATAATCATTGATTTATCGAATTAATATTTTCCCTTTCTTTAAAAGTCATCGTTACATATATCACAGATAGTCTTATGTGTGCTGTTGATGTATTTCTCTCTCTCTGTGTGTGTGTGTATGTATGTTTGTGTTTCTGTCCAATCACGTACATCTATGCATACACATATATACACGTACAGAATATTATACTTTATTCTATGATATATTCTTAAATATATGTGAATGGTCTATTTATAATTCACTAATTAATCACCTATTGGGTTACATTTATGAATGATTTTATATGTTGTTTTTATTTATTAACAGATGGGTAAATATTACATTATCCTATTCAGTTATAATTTTCTTCTTACTTCTTTCTCTTTGTTTATTTATTTATTTTTTTCTCATTTTTTTCCCCACATTCAATAACCAATTTCGCCTTTTATTAAATTTTGTTCTTTGAATTACACTTGTTTGTCTTTTTAAAATGATGTATGATTGTTAGAAAAGAAAATGATAAGAAGCAACTATTACTATGAATGATACGTTTTATTTTTCTGTTCCATTATAACGAATTAAGGTATTGATTTTTGTTGTTGTTGTTGTTGAGAAAACCAAATGACAAATTATTTCGTGTACAACTAATTCCTCCTGCTCGTACAAAGCATAAAATAAATAAATCAATAAATTTTAAAGTGACAAATAATTAGGTGGGCGGGGGGTAGGGAAACAACCCTTAAATGAGAAACTTTATTCATGTTATTTATCACTCAAACATAATTCATAATTTTTCATATTGATCATCACTCGTCAGTCTTATTCTGGGGTCTTTTACACCCTTGGATTCAAGAATTTAATCAGAAAAAAAAACACATTTAAACTGATCAGTATTATATAATTCTTTATTCGATTTTATTGATGACAACTATAGAAACAATGAGGGGTTAGGTGTTAGAGATAATCTAGAAGAGTGTTTTCTCTTTTTCTTTTAAATTTTTCTTTGTGTGACTTGTTCACTTTTATTAGTTACTTCTTAGGTTTGGAAGTCTGTCTATCTATTTATCATACAAACATTTTATTTCAGATTATGTGTATCTGTATGTTTGTGTGTTATTTTTTATTCTAAATTTCATTTCCTGATAGTAGTATTAGTACTGACAGATATCGTTACTCGATTCACTACTATTTATTCAGTTATTTGTTAATTAATTAATTAATTAATCGAATGATTCTTTGTTTATGCTTTTGTTTATCTGTGCGTGTGTGTGTGTGTGTATGATTCAACATGTATTATCCATGATGATAGTCATTATTGCAATAATAAAGATGATAAGGATTATAATATGAAATAGATAAGTATTATTACATTTTGTATTACAATAATTAACCCACATACAAATCCACTCATTATATTCGTTATATTCATATAAGTCATTTAAACAACTAAATACATTTCGTATACCCGCCCCCCCCCATAAAAAAACTCATAAAACAACATAGAATTGAATTCAAATGAATATTAACACAGAGATTAATACCATTATGTTGTGTTTATTAATCGGATCAATAATTTCGACTTTCCATGTGACTTCTTCAAATCATTATGTTTTAAAAGAAAAATCAATGTTTCTCAATCTACTTTCTCATTAATTGTTCTCTAACTTGTGTTTTCAGTGTTTAGTTCTTCTTATGATATCATGATATAAACAAATTTGGATTATGATTTTTTTTCACATTAATTAAGAAAAATAAACACAAACAAAATGAATTTTTTTCTTTGATTCTCTTTTGTTGTTTTTGGTGTGATCATGTTGTTTTGATGTTTGGTTGTTTGTTTGTTTTTTTTTTATTAAAAAAAAAGTGTAATTCATATCAGAAAAAGTGTAAAATGTATGTAGTACCTTGATATTGTTGAATGTAAATCAAGATAATAATTACAGACAAACAAAAACACACTTAGAAACATACTATCCTCTTTTTTGTCTTTATGAAAATATTAAAAAAAAAAACTTGATTCTATCTATCTTTCCAATAAATTGTTCCAATTTCTTTCTCGTAAGCATGTGTGAACTCTTAAACATTAACAAGATCATATTGAACAGACAAACATATATCCTCTCATTAATCAGTAAATGATTTAATGTTCCATACATTCGTGACAAGGGATTCCATTTTATTGTTATCGTTGTGGTTATTATTACCATTATTATTTTGTTTGTTATAATTATTATTTTTTTTGACGACTCATCGTGATTCTTCTATTATTATGTCTATATACATACACACATACCTACAAACATACTACATACATACATACATACACTAACACGACAGTTATTATTATTACCATTATGACAACAACGATTAGCCCTAGTAACATCAATTGATGTTGATTTCGAAAACGATTATCAATCAGTGTAGAAAAGAGTTCGAATGAAGAAGTAATTGGAAAATGTTCAAAATAGTTTCATCATGTGCCTCAAACTAAATCAAATAAACAAATCAATACGTTAACAAAAGTTACTCAGTGTTTTTAATTATAATTTACTAATATTATTATTATTATTATTATCATTATTATTATTTACATTCTTGTTATGACTATTAAAATGTGTGATCTGTGTAGTTTTGTTTTGAAATTTGTTCAGTTTGGTGTAATAAATAGTTGTGATAAGGATATAAAATGTTAATTGACAGTTGCGACTAAAACGGATGCTTTTTAATTTGTAGGTGTTTATTTATGTTATTAAGGACTGTAATTGATCAGTCACTTTTAACATTTGTACATCCTGGGAGGATCTCCTCGATATTATCAGATATTCATGAGTATTTTAGTCAAGTTATCAGTTGCATCTAGGATGTGCGATTGGTCCTATTTAGGACTTGTCTGTTCACATTGGGACTATATCCCAAACCTGAGTTTCAATGCTGGTCTCTATCGAATTTTACCAAAATTACCTGTGGATATCAGGCGATATCGTGGCAATCCGCTAAGGATGAACAAATACCAAAAGTAGCTAACTAGTAACATTCGTGTTATCACTAAGATGATACGAATAATTTCAGTTAATCTCGTTTCACAAGACAGTGGTTATCTGAAATCAGTAGTTAAGTGGACAATTAATTACGTGTTTAGGTTGAAACGCACTGGCTTCTATTCCTGGTGTAGACATCAATACCGTGATATATACCCATCTGGTAAAATCCCCATCCTAGATTGCACTGCTAGCCACTACCCAACTTTTCTAAATTTAGTCGTTTGATCAGGGGTTAAGAAACTGAAGTTTATTTCAAGATTACGCTGTAACAACACATTTCGAATAATCTCGACTGTTTGTTAGGATATTTATTGGAGGAACGAGGTTCGTACAAAACAAATCAAAAAATAAGGAAGAGCAGAGATAATAATGAAAATGCATATGCATCATACTATTTTGAATAGTAAAATCAATTAAATTTATCACGGTAGGTTTAATGCAAGTATAGATTCTTTTTGTAACAAAAAGATGGAATTGAGTTTTCGTAGGGATAGGGTTTTAGCAAATTTCGGTATTGACCGTAGATCACTTTTCTGCAAACTAATCCTATGGCCAGTATCAACTATATTTGCAGTGGAGAAAGGTGGATGTTTATCATTTGTTTTTAATGGGCCATTGAACTGTATTTGTTTTTCCAGCCACTTTTATTTGGATATTACAGTCACTCTTCAATATATATATATGTATGGCTGTACATACATGTAAGTTCGTAAAGACATTGAGAATTAACGCAATTGTGTACCCGCTGTCTAGGTTTGTTTGTTTTTCAATGATAATGACCATGGTTGTATAGTACGTCGCATTGATAGTCGATTTAGCCTTCTTTTCAACACATGGTTACTTAACTAACCAATGAATCATGTAGACATACTTTTTTAGATTCCAAAAGAATAATTATCAACATAATATATTTTTTCAATCCGTTTATAGATTTTAATATCCATTTTTTACC